CCGACGCCTTGGATGAGCAAATAGTCCGCGCTATGATTCGGGAGACCAGTCACAAAGCAGATGATAAAGAATGGTTAATTGCCTTGTCATACTGCCGAGAAGCTCTTCGACCTAGCACATCAAAGATTACGCAAAAAGATTGGGACCGTCGCCCTGCATTTAATGATGTTCGCATGGGGGACTTCATTATCAACAAGAATTGGGGTTCTATCAAATGCTTTCATTACGACAATCACTGGCCCAAGGGCAATCACAATACCAAAATTGCCTTGACCAAGGGACACATATATGGTCCAATCATCCATTTCGGCGTCTTCGACAAGTTCTTCGCGGTACAAGTGCATATTCTCAACTACGGTTTACGATAGGTAAACATATGGTACAATGACAAAAGCATGCCCCCTCAAGGGCGTTGTCTTTGCATGACCGATTCGTACCGAAGAACATGCCATTGACCCGACATATATGGAGACCGTCCTGAAAGGTCCAACACCATGCAGTGAAAAGATACTCCAACATCAGAATGGTGGTAGTTTGCCATACCTTGGTATGCCAAGCATTTATAGACCACGTATTCCGCGTACACCGACCAGACGGCCCGCTCCTCGGACACCCGATCCCGACGAGCTGGTGGCCACACCTGCCGAGGACAACGCTCATACGGGCGATAAACCTCGACAAACTTCAGGATCATCGAATGATCCTTTGGTCACGGTGATCGTGGATATATCGAGCATATCGCTCGCCGCCGATGAGAAAGCAGCGAACGACAACATGAGAGCAGATCTCTCAGCAGACATTCAAGCAGATGACCAGATTGAGGCGAGCATACTCGACAACATCATTGACCCGCCAGCAGAATTCCTCAACCATCCAGACTACGACCCCGACGAGGATTCAAGATGGATTAAACAGTCAGATGACTGCCGCATATATCGTTGGACGTCGGAATTGTTGGTGGATTCGCCTATGATAAGGATGAAACAGATCATCGAGATACACAGCGGCGCAGACAGAATTGTAATGGATAAAACACAATCGCATTTACAATTTGAGATTCGATTTGGATCGAAAGCATGGAATGCAGAGTCATACCAATTGAATTATGATCATATCCACGAATGGGCACGTGACTTGCCAAATTGCAGTGCAGATCATTTGTTTCAAAAAGTTGGTACATTACCTGGGCCCAGAGACTATCGAGGAGTCGACTGCAGGCGTCTTCCAATGGATCTCCAAAGTATATCAGAACATCTTGAAATATAGTATTGCGGAGCTTCCAGATTTCACAAAAGATGCCATCCATGAGCAACATCCTGCACTCCAGGCGTTGCGTGACCTATTCAAGAATTGTACCGAGACATACGGTAACCCAGACTTTCCTGCATGGGAAGAGCTGGTGGAAACACTTGCCGCGCCTCGTGAGCAAGGCGCGGGGCAGGATATTCCCCAGGACCCAGGCAGCGTTGCATCCGCAGCTCCTGATCAGGAAACCATGGTACGTATCATAGCCGAGCAGACGGGACTCAAGCGCGATGAGGGCGACAACGAGTCCGCCTTGCAGGAGAAGGCTCGCCGTCTTCGCACAGAGAACGTATGCCATGGTGGTGCCGAGGATACGGACAACACCAAGACAGAGTGCAAAGGACTGCCAGGGGAAAGATTGTCTAGGGTCGAGATCGAGGGATTAAGTAGATCAATCGCTTCCCGACCGACCACCGGGATCAATCGTGAGGCCATCAATCAGATCGGCCAGAGCCTCGCTCGCGGTCAGGACACTCGCTGGGGATCCCGTGATTACCTCACGACTGAAGGGGCCCCAGAGACGATCTTGCATTCCATACCGCTCTGTCAGAATTGCGGTCGAGATCTGTCCCTTGGGATCGTCACAGGTGGCGGCGCCCTTTGTGACATCTGTTGGCAGTATACCGTGGCCGTAGGCGCCACGGGTAAGAGTACCGCCGTACAGAGCGATCTCGCGTACCTCCAGAAGCTGACCAACTGGATCAATATGACGCTCTCCGAGGACCAGATCGCGAGATACATGAAGGACGGAGCGCACGTCATTATGACGGGTGCGCGATCACACGCAGGCAATGAGAAAGATTTGTTGCGGAGATTGGCTAATTCGCCAAGAAAGAGGTATCAGAAGTGGGTCGAATCAGGTAGCCCTGCTGCGCACGACTGCAGACTGATGGGCGAAGCCGATGACGACAGACCTCTGTATTACCCATACGCCAATCTCGTACAACGCTTTCTCAACGACCTGAAGTTCCACCACCAAATGACAGGTGCCCGCGTGAACGTCGGCAAGAAGGCCTGGACCGTGGACGACATGCGTGATGCGTGGGACATCCTCGACGTCAGCATTAGGACAGGACAGGCTGGTCGGAGGAAATGGTGGCTGAACGAGGGCCGCCTCGACAGGCAGACGCGGCAGGCTCGCGGACTGGTCGCGATTGCCCCCCCTAGAAGGGACGGCACCCGTGAACAGTTCACTCAGCGTAAGCTTGCCGCGATTGCCAACGAGTTGTTAGGCTCCCTCGATCCGTCGCATACCGACCAGAGGGGGGTTGATACAGGGATGAGAACCGATCCAACTGATCCCGATACACACTCCCATCAGTCCAATGATGCCATGGAGCCGCGCCATCCGCGGCCGCCGCCGCGCCCTGCCCCTGGCGATGCTGCTGCGTCCAGCGCCTCTGGCGCGACGGACTGCACGCCCGCGGGGCCACGTGCCAAGAGAGCGCGTACATCAGATTACGCCGCCTACTGGCGCGACGACCTCGAGGACAGCTACTGGGGTCTCAGGCACTGGAGCTATTACATCAACTGTTGGATCTACATCGCGATCAACAACGACGAGTACGTATACATCCAGGACATCCAGTACAATGATTGGTTTCGCAACTGGATCCCGAGGACATCTTGGGAAACGTTCACGACGAGCTACGTGACGTACAACGGCCAGAGGATGTGGGACCGCAGGTTCTACAAGAACGGCAACACGTAGCGAGTCGGCCGCAAGGCCCACCGCTCAAAGGCATGAACTTCATTATAACCAAAGTTCGCCTTTAGCGGTGGCCATTGCATACTTTTAGGCCACTTCATTATATAACACAAGTGGCCACACACACAAATACCTTTTGCGATAACCGAGGCAGCCTCCTAAGGAGCAAAGCCAACGGGAGTCGCCAAACAGAATTTATACACATGCAGTTTTCGTGTTTATCAACACGACATCTCGTCTGGCCAGACATTTGCTTTTACACACAGTTGCGTTTCGTTGCAAGATCGTGTTCGTCAACACGATCTTAGCTTGCATATTCTTTTGAGTTTAAACCTGATTGCGTCGAGAATAATCTGATAGCTGGCGGCAACACCTGCCTCGCAAAGGCGAGGCAGTTTGCATGTTGCTTTAATGCTCAGATCTTCTTTCTCCGCCCACCCTTGTCTCATTCTTCTCCGCCCTCGAGTGCCGAAGCGTTTTGGGGGGCGCACCGAGGGGGCACCAAAGTGTGCTTGGCGAAGAAATGGGGACCCAGGGTGTTCCTTCTTACTTCACTTTGCAGCTGTGGCTACACTGACTTTAAGCCCAGCTGCCTTCTGACTTAAGGACCAAAGGAGTAAATGGGTGGCGGATTCCCTTCCTTTGTTCCCGAGTCCTGCCCTCACGGGCGGGATTCGGGGCGGGGGGTGTGAATGGAACCCGTATAATACCCTTATATATACTCCTTATCCTTACCTCTCCTGCGCCTGGCCGTTTGGGCTCAGGTATTGAGATAGATCGATCAGACCTTGATCGTGCGGGAGGGAAAGATATCCATCTATCCCTCCTTCTCTCTACCAGCGGATCAGGGGTTCTGTGCCCTTGTACTTCAACCCCATACACACAATCAAGCCTGAGAGCTGGCTCGATTAAGTTGAGACCGTAGGAGGTCTGGGTGTTGCGACGCGACTCGCGCGTCGGCCTCCGCGGTGGGCGACTTGCGGGGCGCCTGCTACGACGAGGTCGACCTGCGCGGCTGCCGCGGGGGGCCCGCGCCAGGACTTGGCCGGGCTGACCGCGTCGGGCGCAGGCTTGCGCGGCGCGAAGTTTGGCTTGTTCTACGAGGTGCCGCGGCTGCTGCGGCCCCTCAAAGCGGCATCCAGGGGGATGTCGCAGTGGCGCGTCGAGAACGCGGCGAGCATGACGGCGGACAAGAGGGCCCGAATCAGCAAGTCCCTCGGCGTTGATCCATTCCTCATGCGCTCGTCTGTGCTGGTGCCCCGCTGTCGACCGAGGCTGCGCTGATGGGCTGGGCGCCGCGCGTCGCGGACCCCCTGGTCGTCGCGCCCAAAGGGCGGGCGCAGCGAAATCTCCTCCCCGGAGGGCCCCCTCAGCAGCCTCGCCTGGGAGGGCGTCGGCGCGCGCTGTCTGAGCGCCCCTGGGCTTTCTCCGACTCTGGCGCGCTGCGGGCCGCTGCCGAGGTTCTCCTCGGCGCCGCGAGGCTTGCGGCGAGCTTCTGCGGCGGCGCGCGCGCTGGGAGGCAGACTGTTTCAGGTTTCGCGTCGCCCTGTGCGAGGGGGGAAATATGTTGCTTGACAGTCCCGTCGGGCCGTCTCCTCGCCTGCCTTCCTGCTCGGAGACAGAGACGACGCTCGGCTTCGACGTCGACTGCGCCTCCGTAGCCACGAAGGGCTCGAACGGGATCGACAGTTCGGACGCGCGGGCATTCTTCCTCGGCAACGCATTCAGCATCTATGCTCTTGCATGGCTGGCGCAGGGTCTGCCGCTGGACGCTGGGGCGTTGACCAGGCCTCTCGCATCGCAGGAGCTGACGCACTTCGGCCGTCGCGGGGCGACATCGGGCGGCACGAGGGCCAGCCGAGCGACCCGGAGACGCTGGAGGTGCGGCGCCTGGTTCTGCATAACTTGTCCCGCGCGTAGGAGTGGCTGCGACGTGCGGCTGGGCTGCGGGCCCCCCATGCAGGCCTCGCGGCCGGCCGCGGTCGAGCCTCGACCCGTTCGCGCGGCGCTGGCGCGCGGTCCTCTGCATTGCGTGGTCCAAGGAGAAGAGCGCTCACATGCATGTTCGAGAGCTGCGGGCGGCTTGCGCAGCTCTCTGGCGGCGGGCCTGCAAGGCGGGTCGGCGCTGCAGCAGATGGCTTCGCCTCGTCGGCTGCCGGGCGATCGCGGCCGTCGTCGCGACGGGGAGGGGCAGCAGCCGACGCCTGCAGCCTGCTCTGTCCAGGTGGGCCGCGGCCGCGGTCGCGGCCAACGCGCGCCCGATCATCGGCCGCGTGGTGTCGGAAGACAATCCCGCCGACGAACCGTCGCGGAGGTTGCGGCGTGGCTCGCGGCCCAGGCTTGCCGCGCCCAGGCTGCCCAAGCGGCAGGTCAGGCGCCGCGGCCTCCCCCCGCCGCGCGCGCTCGGATGAAGCCAGGCGCCCTGCGCGGCCCGGCGCTGGCCTCGCTCCGCGCGGGCGCTGCGATGAGGCGCGGGTACGTCGTCGCGGTTAGCGGCCGCTAGGATCGGAGCGCTCGGCGAGGACGGCGGGGGCGCCAGCGGCCTCGTCGCGGGGCTCCTCGAGAGCCGCTGGGCTACTGGCGCGGGCATTGCGGCGGCCGACAACGCGGCGGCGGGCGCCGTCTTTTTCGGCTCGCGACTCAGGCGCCGCCTGGACTTGAGCTGGGCGCTGCTGAAGACGCGGCGGAAGCGGGGGCCTGCGGCTTGGGCGCCCACCATCGCGCCCGAGATCGTCGGAGGCATGGCGGGCCTGTCGCTGGAGGCGGGGTGCGTCGACATCGCTTGCTTCCTGATGGTGGCCTTCGAGGGCCTCTGGCGCGGCGGCGAGGCCTTCGCGCTGCGACCCGGCGACGCGGCCTTTCGAGGTCGTTGCGCCGTCCTCCGCATCGCTTCGCCCAAGGGCACAGCGGGCCGCGACGCGGCCGAGGCGGCGGTGGCCCGGGCGCCCATCACCCTGCAGTTGCCGCGGCTAATGGCTCGCGGTTGCGCTGACGGCCAGCGCCCGAGGGCGCGGACGCCGCGCCAGTTGCGGGCGGCCTTCGCGGCGCTGGTGGAGGCGCTGGGCTTCGACTGCCACTTCAGCTGACAGAGCTGCCGCCGCGGGAGGGCGTCGGAGCTCTTCGTGCGGACCAGCAGCATGGTGGCTACGCTTGTCCACGGGCGGTGGGGCAGCAGTCTCACGGCCCGCGTCCACATCGAAGACGCCGTCGCGGATCTCGTGAGTGTCCAGCGCGGCGACCCGCAGGCCGAGCGCGTCCGGTACGGGCTGCAGGCTCTGCGCATTTCAGTTCTTATCAGTGTTAGTGGACATGCACTTGTCTCTGCCAGCGTAGCATCTGAACTGATCCCATCTTCCTTTTCAGTATTCTCACAACGGTTTGTTCCTGCATTCGGCGAAAGGGGGGTGCATGGGTAGTATAGAGGAGCTGAGAAAGGCGGGCCTGTGGGCCACGAGTGGGGTTCAATGGTTAGCTTAGTGTCTCCCCCCTTGTGTGCTTAAGCAGATGTAAAGGCTTTTGGTCGAGGGTCGTGGATGTGTCCCGTACCTTGTCATTCAGGTGTGAGGACTTTTTCCACGCGTGGACTTTGGTTTTCTCCTGGGGCGGGCCCCGCAAGCCGCGATTGCTGGGGGCCCCGTTCTGGACGGAAACTCTCGGTCGAGGCGCAGTTGGTCTTCCCAGGGACCCTCAGGATCATTGGCCTCGTCTTGTAGCATTGACAGGAGCTTCAAAGGGGCGTTAGAGCAAGTTTACCATTGGCGTGTGGACGCCTGACAAAAGCCGTATGCTCTTATACGCGATTGTGTATGAACATACGGAGATCGAGGGTAACGCCACCTCCGATTCGTAGCGTGTTTGTGCCCCCGCCCACTCGCCACCTTTCGTAGGACCCAGCTCTCTGTTGACCCGCTCCGGTGCCATGGCCCAGGGGTTAGCTTAGTGTCCCCCCTTTGTGTGCTCAAACAGATGTAAAAGCTAGTGGTCGAGGGGCGTGGATGTGTCCCATACCTTGTAATTCAGGTGTGAGGACTTTCTCGACGTGTGGCCTTTGGTCTTCTCCTGGGGAAGGCCCCGCAAACCGCACTTGCTGGGGGGCCCGTTCTGGACGGAAGCTTTCGATCGACGCGCAGAAACCTTGGGTGTATATATGTTTATACATATGTGTGTATGTATGTATGTATGTATGTATGTATGTATGTATGTATGTATGTATGTATGTATGTATGCAGGCATGTATGTATGTATGTATGTATGCATGCATGCATGTATGCATGCATGTATGTATGTATGTATGTATGTATGTATGTATGTATGTATGTATGTAACGTATGTATGTATGTAATGTATATATGTATGTATGCATGTATGTATGTGTGTGTATGTATGTATGTATGCATGTATGTATGTATGTATGTATGTATGTATGTACGTACGTACGTACGTACGTACGTACGTACGTACGTACGTACGTATGTATGTATGTATGTATGTATGTATGTATGTATGTATGTATGTATGTATGGTTGTATGTATGTATGTATGTATGCATGCATGCATGCATGCATGCATGCATGCATGCATGTATGTATGTGTGTAGGGCCCCCCTTCTGAAAGAGCGCACCCTCCCTGACCCCCCCCCCAAAAAAAACACGCAGTTCGAACCCTCGGGCCTGTCTTGCGCCTTGGGTTTTCTCTGATTTTCGACTCTCTGGGCTCTCCCGGGCCAGCCTTAGGCCTTTTTTGGGCACGTCAGGGGGCTCATTTGGAGCCGTCGGGCTATCTCGACGCCTCTCGAGCCGATCGTACGCGAAAAGGCGAAAATAACAAACATATAGTTTTTCCCATGGTTTTCATTGATTTCCAATGTTCTGGGCATTCTTCGGCCAGCCTTGGGCCTCTTGAGGGCTCGTCTGGGGACTCATTTGGAGCCGTCCTGGGGCTATCTTGACTCCTCAAGAGCCGATCGTAAGCGAAAAGGCGAGAAGATCAAAAACATTGTTTGTCCCATGGTTTTTCATTGATTTCAATTATTTGGGCCTTCTTCGGCCAGCCTTGGGCCTCTGTGGGCCACGGGTTGCGCCGCTCGGGAGCCATCCTGGTGCTATCTCGACGCCTCCCGAACCGACCGGAAGCGAAAAGGCGAGAAGACCGAAAACACTTGTTTTCCAAAGTTGTTGTTTTTCATGTTCGAACCTCCGGGCCCTCTAGGGCCAGTCTGTGCCCTTTTTGGGGCTCGTCTGGGGATTAATTAGGAGCCGTCCTGGGCTTATCATGATGCCTCAAGAGCCAGTCGGAAGCGACAAGGCGAGAAGACCAAACAAATTGATTTTCCAATGGATTATAACAGATTTTTTATTTTGGGGGCCCTCTTCGGCCAACCTTGTGCCTCTGTGGGCCTCGGTTTACGCCTCTCTAAGGCCATCCTGGGGTCATCTTGACGCCTCTCGAGCTAACAAGAAAGGAACATCGAAAACGCCGAACACATTGCTTTTCCAATGGGTTTTCTCTCATTTCCGACTCTCCTGGCCCTGTTGAGCCAGCCTTGGGCCTCTTTGGGGTGCGTCTGGGGACTCATTCGGAGCCGTCGGACCATCTTGACGCCTCAAGAGCCGATCGTAAGCGAAAAGGCGAGAAGGCCAAAACATTTGTTTTCCATTTGGTTAATTCCATTATTTGGGCCTTCTTGGGCCAGCCTTGGGCCTCTTTGGGGCTCGAAGCTGGCAGCCCAGCAGCGCTCATGCCGACAATAACATGTTTTGTAGGAGGTGGAGGAAGAGGAGGAAGACGAGGAGGAGGTAGAGGAGAAGGAGGAGAAGGAGGAGGAGGAGAAGGAGGAGGAATTAGAAGAAGATGGGGAGAGAGGAGAAAGAGGATTAGGATGAGTAGGAGAAAGAGGAGGAGGAAAAGGGGGAGGAGGAGAAAGAGGAGGAGGATGCCCTGCTTCATGCTAGTCCAACCACTCGCCTGAGACAGATTCGCGCCTCTGGGCCCCGAAACGCCTTGAGATGGCCTCAGCTGGTACTGTCCGGTCGCTCCCGCTCAGGAACTCCTCACCCATTTCGAATCGGCGGTGGCCCGCCCCATGTCGACGCGCACGCACGCCGCTTGCATTCGAAACTTCAAGGAACAAGGTGCATGGCGCGAAGCGCCAATGCAGTCTTGGTCATGCACACATTTATGTATATATGTGTATATATAGGTGTATATATATAGAGAGAGAGAGAACAAAGAGAGAGAGAGAGGGTGAGAGAGAGAGAGAGACAGACAGATAGAGAGATAGAGAGAGAGAGAGAGACACATATCAAAACACAAAGAAACACACAGTGATAGTGAACGTGAACGGCAGGGCGAGAGAGGGCAGGCGGGGGATGATTTGAACATGACCGAAATCTACCTGTTGGAGTTCCTCACTTGTGTAGTTGTGTTCCCATAGGTTTTAGACGGACGTGGGGCTTTCGGGGGCGTCGTTTGGCGAATCCGTGGCCCCGTGAAGCATCCTTCACGGAAGTGGAAACATGTATTATGGCACGTGGAGTAGCGACGTTCTCAATCCATTGCATGAATTATTTGGGCAAAGGCATACGTTGGGCATCCCAGTTTTCCATTGCAGAGTCGCGTGCGCTGGTCTTGTCAATGTGGTGGACTCTCAACGATACACCGACTGCTGGCAGTTTCACCGCGCATCTTCCTCTCCACAAGTATCCAGGTTGATTCTCTGAATGGCCGCCAGGAAGCCATCCTTGTGGTGGTCGCGCCAAAGCCCCGCCGCATCCTTGAATAAGGGTTTTGGAAGGTCCGCGGATGCCCGCTAAGGCGCGCGGGCCCCCTGCCCCCCGCTCCCGTGTCCTGACCCACCTGCACATCCATGCGCGGTAGCCTCCGAGCCGTCGGGGCTTAGTTGTGTCGATTGCGCTCGGCGCATCACTCGGGCCCCCCCCCCTCGCCCCTTCCGTTCATCCATTTTGCTAATGCGTGCGCGAAGTGCTGTACAGAATAGCCAACGGGCCACGGATTAGCGGAGCGGCCCCCGGGACCAAACAACAATGATTGTGATGCATTCGTTGGGGACCAGGGTCAGTTTCGCCAATCCATGGGTACAGCCCTCATGGGTTCTTTTTCATTGATGCACGGATTCGCGGCCCCGTCCGCCCGGATGGCGGCCGCAGTGTTGGCGGCTTCGCGCACGAAATCGTCCACCGCAACTTGGCGCGGTTTTGCGGGCGCGCGTAGGCCGTGCGTGGCCGCGGTCGCAGCAAGGATTGGAGTTGCCCCCCGCAAAGCCCCGAACCACCCCTTTGCGACGGCCAAGGCGCACCCTGGAGACATGTTTGAAACTTTGTTGAGCCGTTCTGCGCCACCTTGTGTGATCTTGGAGGCCATATTGAGCTATCTGGGGTCCGCTTGGGGCCATCTTGGGCCATCTTCGAACCTGCAGCGATCTTCGGCGCCCTCTCCAGTCCAATAGGTACGTGGAGAGGCAAACCTCTCCCCGAAAGAAAATATGGACGTTGGAAAACATAACTCCCTACTGCACCATCTACACCCAGATGTCTGGTGGGACTACCGACGGGAGCAGCGCTCGAAGGCCTTCATAGCTTGCTCCGACCTCCAGAATGCATAGATTGTACGTTTCCGATACACGAAGAAGTAGTACAGTATCGATGCCCCACAAGAAAGGAACCTGATTTGGGAGAAGGAGGAGGATCAACAAGCTGAGGATGCAGAGCAGGACGGGGAGAATAGATTGCAGGAACGGCCCTTGATCAGCCCATCCTTCCATCCAATGTTGAGTTCCAGCTCTAGACTAGGCTTTCATGCCACTCCAGAATCAGGGGCGCGCACAGTGGAGAAGGCGGAGGGGCCCGGCCTTCTCAGAAGGCGGCGAGGCTTCTCAGAGGCCCTCACCGCCTTCCGAGAAACCCTTGCTACAGAAAGTTTCTCTGAAGGCAGAAGGGCTTCCCAGACATCCGACGATGAGATGTTTTTCAATGCGCGTCCCCAGAGGTCCCGACCCCTTGCCAGGGGATAGGTGTTCGTCCCGGATTCATTTTTGGTTGTCCTGGGGCTCGTCGTAAATTCGAGGAAATCACCAAGATTGGGAAGATCGGAAATTCGGGTTCTCAGATGTCCCGAGGCCTTCTGGGAAGGACGGCCCCCTCTGCCTTTCCCTCTGGGCGCGCCGCTGACCAAAGGCTGGCACAGCCAGAGGGCCGCTGCCGACCAGGGAGGCGGCCGCGCGGCATGGCACAAGGACGGCGGCCAGTCCTCCGGGGCCGAGGGAGGCGGTGGCGGAAAGTGGGGTGGCGACCAGTGGAAGCATGGCAGCCAGTCGTGGAGCGGCAAGTGGGACTGGTCCCAAGACTCAAACGCGTGGAGGAGCTCGGATAAAAGGTGACGGTGCCAACCTATTGCGTGGATATCTTGGATCTGCGTTGGACCCCCCTCCCTGGCGCCGCGCGGAGCGCGCTGGGGGCGCCGCCAGGGGAGTCCAGCGCCGATCGAATAAATCCGCTCGGACCTCCCAACGTTTATGCTTACGTCGTTTTTCTTCCTCTAGGAGTGGCGCTGAGTCGCAGGAGGCGATCCTGCAACAGCGCGGTGAACAGCAGCAGGAGCAGCAGCAGCAGCAGCAGCAGCAGCAGCAACAGCAGCAGCAGCAGCAGCAGCAGCAGCTGCCCGGCCAAGACGCGCAGCAGTGGCCCGGCCTGTCGGGCGGCATCACGCCAGTGTCGTTTCTGCAGCCCGAGGTTCAGCAGGCGGCATACGGCTACGAGGAGGCCACGCCCGGCGGCATGACGCCAGCGCTGCCTCTGGAGCAGCTGCAGCATCCGCTGCTGGCTACGGCCACGGTGGGACTCGGCACAGGGTATTCGCCCGTGCCTGGTGGTATCACGCCGGCGCTGCCGGTCGAGCAGGCTAGTGCTCCACAGGGGTACTCAGGGGCAACGACGGAGGGGGGGGGGCTGGCTCCAAGGGCGGGGCAGCATCGACCCCCATGCGCCCATTCATCGCCGATCGGGGCCTGGGCGCTTCAGCCTACCCAGGAGCGCGCGGTTCTGCAGTGTTAGGGCCTGTCGCCGATGTAGTGGCGAGGCCGATTCCAGGTCGATGTTGCCCCCCCCCGCCCCCTGAGCCAGTCCGCCCCCTTTTGCGTCCCTCTCAGGTACCCGCAAAACATTCTGGGGTGGAGGATCGGGAGGGGTAAAGAGTATCCAGAACTCGCTCAGTTGTTGCCCAACAGTCTGGAATTTGTCCAACAGTGCCGCACTGACGGGGTCGTCCGACCAGCGTGACATGGATATTGATTTTGCTTTCCGAGAGGAAGCGGCAGGCCGAGTTCTTCCCGAACGAGCCGCCCCTGAAAGACGGCTGGATCCGGCAGCTGTCGTCCTCCACTGGCCAGGTGTTCTTCGTCCGCGTCGACGATATGTATTCAACACGGAACCCAGAAGAGGCGTTAGCTTGATGAGATTTCCTGATTCTTGCATGGCGTTTTCACTAGAGCCCATCCCTCTGTCTTGCTGTCTCTCGCCTCCGGGATTGCCCCTTCAGCGTTCGCCAACTAATCATCTTTATCGTATATCTTTCAAGAGTTTTGCCGACGAATCGCGGTGTAAGATCAATCGCTCAGTCATCGGGGACGCTTCTCCCAGGGTGGCTGTAAGTTTATTGCCCCGATGTGCCACCGCAGGGGTGCAAGTTTTCAAGCCTCCTGGAGAAGGGCGTCCCCCATCATGGAAAGATGTATGTTTTACCGCTCTTCGCCACCCACAATCATCACTTGGCTCCGCTCCATCGTCGGGGGTTTGCGGCCCAAGCGCAGCTCCCATCCGTGCCTCCCGGCCCATGCTGCATGCTGAACATTGGTCATTGGCCATGGGCTTCCAGCTTCGGCCTCATTTTTGTCACCCAAGGGCCCAAGGGCCTTGCATCCTTATTGCGCGTCCTCATGACCCGGTCGCACTGCATGGGGCAGCGTTCAGGCAGGGAGCAACCCACCTCTCGAATTCCGCCGTCGTATTTTTGTTCCGGAGGTCTGGACGCTGTCCCCAGGACTGGCTTTTCACCCCCAGCCGTTTTCTGACAGCCCCGGCCCCCAGAACTCGAAAGCAGCAAGCAGATTGTCGTCGTTTTTCCGCGGCTGGAGGAGGCTCGTGGCTGGTCCTCTAAGTGGGGCCGCAGCGCGGCCAGCGGCAGCGCTCCGATGTCGAGCTCCGAGCCTTGGCAGTAATACGAGGAAGCTGAGGAGGAGGGGGACGAGGACGAGGAAGTGGAGGAGTAGAGAGGAGGACGAGGAGGAGCAGGGGAGGAAGAAGAGGAGTGTATAATAAGGAGCAGGAGGGGAGGACGACGACGACCTGCGGGTGCTTGTATTTGTGTCAGCTTGTTTCCCGACCCTCCTGTATTGAGCCTTCGTCTGGAATAGAGCATTGCTGTCTCCACTTCCCGCCTCCCTTCTCCGGGCTGCGACCTGCAAAATTGTCGCCACTGTCGAGGGCTGCTGGGGGGGTGGGGGGCACCGCAGTGGGTACCACGCCAACCCGCCATCCCTCGGGGGCCGCGATCTGCGAAACTGTCGCATCATTCGAGGTGTGCGTTGAGGGCCAGCACAGTGGGTACATATCCAGACTCAGGTTAAACCTCTCCATCCCTCGGGGAGTGCGAATTGCTATACTGTCGCCAGCGAATTGCTATACTGTCGCCAGTTTCGAGGGCTGCTGAGAGCGCCAGCGTTGTAGGCACATGCCCAGACTCACCTCAGACCTCGCCATCCATTGGGGGGCTACGATCTGCGAAACTGTCGCCACTTGCGAGGGCTAGTGGAATCGTCAGCGTAGCGGGCAGATGCCCAGATTCGCCGTCCCTGGGGCCCAGGCGGTCTGCGACCGTGAACTTGTCGCCATTTTCGACGGCTGCCAGGTGAGAGAGCACAGTTGGCACATGAGAAATTCATAGTAGACTTCGCAATCCCTGGGCGATCTGCAAAGTCGTTGCCATGTCGGACGGCTGCTGGGAGGGCCAGCATGCGGGTAAATACCCAGACTCAAGCTCACCCGGCCCACCCGTTGGGAGCTGCGAGCTGTCTAGTTGTCGCAACTGTCAAAAGGTGTTGGAAGGGCCACTAAAGTGGCCAGCGCGCAGATGCGATTTTAATTCGACCTCGCCTTCCCTGGGGTGCTGCAGTTGGCGAAGCTGCCGCAATTCTCGAGGGCTGAAGGGGAGGGGTCCAGCGGAGTAACGCTTTGCGGGGGAGCTATATTAGACATCGCCATCCTCGGGGGGCTGCGAATTGCAAAGCAATCGCCGCATTCGAAAGCTGGTGGGGGTCCAGCTTTGCGGGGGACGCAGATTAGACCTGGCGGGGGGGCCTTGTCATCCCTGGAGGGCTGCGAACTGGGAGCGGTCGGCACTTTCGAGGGTTGCTGGGGGGTCGGCGGAGTGACGTCTTACACGCTCCAATCCGACCTCGCCATCCATGGTGGGTTGCGAACTAGAAGTTGTCTTCATTTTTGTTGGCTGATGGGTGGTCCAGCCGAGTGACGTCTTACTCAGCTCTAGCTCGACATCGCAATCCCTGGAGTGCTGCGAATTGCGACGCTGTCGCCACCTTGGGGGGCCTGTGGGGGGCTCAGCGGGGTGACACCTTAGACGGGGGGTGCAGATTGGACTTCGCGGGGGAGGGCTGCGACGTGCAATATTGACGCCACCTTCGAGGGCTGCGGGGGGGTCCACCGGGGTGACGTCTTACGAGCGAATTGTGAAATTGTCGCCATCTTCGAAGGCAGCTGCAGGGTCTGGCGTGGAGTGACGTCTTGTGGGGACCCAGACTCGGTCTCGCCATCCCCGGGGTGGTGGGCGCGAACTGCAAAGATGTCGCCGCGTTCGAAGGCAATGTGGGGTCTAGCTGAGGGATGTCCTGCGCAGATTCAGATTCGACCTCCTCACGCATAGATGGCTGCCAACAGCGAAGCCGTTGCTGTTCGTAGCCCCCCAGGGATGGCGAGGTTGAATCTTAGTCTGCGTAAGATTACATTCCACCGGACCTTCCAGCAGCTTTCAAAAGTGGCGACCGCCTCGCAATTCGCAGCTCCCTAGGCATGAAGAGGTTTGATCTGAACCTGCGTAAGACGACACTCCGTTGGACCCCGCAGCCGCCCTCGAAAGTGGAGACAGATTGGCAGTTCGCGCGCCCCCCCTGGGATTGCGAGGTTTAGTTTGCGTCTGCGCAAGACGTCACTCAGCCATTTTCGTGGGCGTAGTCCATCGGAGTGACGTCTTTTGCAGACTGAGATCCGACCTCACCATCCCTCCGGGGATGCGAACTGCGAAACAGTCGCCATTTCCACAAGCTTATGGGTGGCCGAGCTTCGAACTGCCAGGCTGGCGCCATTTTCAAGGGCTGCTGGGGGGCCCCTCGCAGTGACACTATGTGCGGATTCAGAGTAGACCTCGCCCTTCGTGAGGGGGTTCTGCGAACTGCGAGACAGTCGCTACGTTCGAGACTGTTGGGGGGCCAGCGTAGCGGGCACCGTCGCCGGGGGGCATGTGAACCGGGAAACTGTTCGAGGGCTGTTGGTGGGCCGAGCGCAGTCGTCATCGTGGAGGTCAGCATGGCGCCGCCGAACTTCTTTAACATGTTCTCGTGCGGCGCGTTCCACGCCGGGCGCTATCAGCGCGACCTGGAGCGGGCGAACTACCTGCAGCCCCCCCGCGCCTTGGGCCGCCCCCTTGCCCTGATCAGTTTCGAAGTCTTCTGCGGGTGCCGCCCGCCACCCAGCATTTCACTGCTGTTCAGCCCGCGCATTTTGGCGGCCGCCGCCTGCCAGATGGACGGGCCGCCCGTTGAGCACTACAGGGCCCCAGCAGCATTGTGCGTCGCTGCCGCGCGTTCCTGTCTCCAGGTCACCGACCGCTTCAAGGGCTCCGACCTGGGCGATCTCGCGGCTCGCACGCGCAAGCCGGAGCAAGGGCAATTACCTTCACAATAGATCAGAAACTTGGGAGCGCATCCGCATGTTACATGCCATTCCATGGGCGATGACTGGTTCGAGACGAGACACTGGCTCGGCGGATTGCGATGCGCGCGAGGATTGACGCCAGGTCTCTTGGCCAGGTGATCTTGGACATGGCCGCGAATCTGGTGAACCGCTGCCCCCGCTGCCCTTGGACGCGGCCGCGAATCTGGCGAACCAGGTCAGACGGGGCGCGACGGGTGGCGCTTCGCAGGATTGCGCGTCGGCATGCGCACGCGTTTGCATGAGCATCTGCACTTCGACGAAGGGCTTGGCAAGGGCGCCGAGAGCGAGGTCGCGCGCGCGCCCGTCGCCCCGCAGGATGGGGAGGGGGTGGGGGCTGAGGCAGAGACGCCCAGTCCGCGTGGACAAATTGCAGTCCAGCCCTTTCGGAGACCGCCGAGTGCGATGCCAGCGTCAACGCGTTGGAATCGGCTGGCCTGGTTCCCCTGCAAACGTCGAATTCAGGCACGCGCGCTGGCCCATCCACCCCGACGTCCGCGGTGCGTCTGGGCCCGACAATTCGCCGCGGCGCCGTCGTCAACGCTGGCTGCAAGGACGAGAACGGCTTGGGCGGCATTTGAACTTGTCGATGATGCGTGACCCCGGGCTCCAAGTCGGGCTCCAAGCATTGCCCCCGCGGGCCCCTCGTATCTCTGGCGACGCACCTGTGGGCGTTTAGTTTTCGCGCGGAACGGCGCCGGCAGGAAATGGCGAGGCTGGCGGGCGCGCGCGGCCGCGTTCGTTCCCCCCCAGGCATGGGCAGTTGATGCGGGCGCGTGGCGAAGACGCCGCTACTCTGCCCATCGGCGCCATTTGAAACAAGCCGAGTCATTCCTCCGATTCCCGCTGCTGCAGTCGCGCTGGAACTACGACGGCGACCAGTCCTCTGTCTCCTCCTCGTTCCGCGTCCCTTCCGATGTAGGGCCTGGGGCCCGCGTGCACCCATGCCGCCTTCGTCCATCAATTGCTTCTCTGCAGCACGTGCGCCCCGCGAACATCCCGTGCAGTTTGCGCTGCAATCTCCCGCTCAGTCACTTGCATCGCCCGCGTCGCGTTGGATCAGCGGGCGCGTCATTCTGATCAAGTTGCGTTTGGTGCGCGGCTGGGTATTTCATGTTACTCGGGAGATCGTCGAGGCCGGCGCCCTTCCACTCGTCGCCCCCGGGGGGGCAGGGGGCAGGAAGGAGGGCCAGGGCGGGGGGGATTTGGAGACGGAGGAGGGTAGGCGGGGGAAGTGGGGGGAGAAGGGCGACGACCCCGACATCTTGAGCACTGTGTCAAAACTGGCAGAACGTTTCAGTTCTGGCTGGGCTGATTGCCAAAGAGCTCGCGCGCGCGGTTGGAGGGGGGAGGGGCAGGGGGACGGGGGCAGGAACAGGAGAAGATACAGGAAAAGCATGGCCAATGCCACCCTAAAGTGCGCTAGCGATGTCGCAGCGACCCCCCCTCC